TGAACCCAGGAACACTTTACCACTAAGTTACACTGCCAGTCTTTTTTTGAGACAGGATCTTGCTACATTGCTGAGGTTGGCCTCTAACTTGGGATCCTCCTGCCTCCACCTCCCAAATCACTGGGATTACAGGCAACACAACCTTTCCTGATTCATAATGTTGTTTTGAATGTTTTTACCTTTATTATAAAAGGCATATTGTACATACCTATCTACAACTGCAACTTTTTGTTCAACATTAATATATCTAGGTCCAGGGCTGGGGCTGTAACTCAGTGGCAGAGTGCTTGCCTCGCACATATGAGGCACTTTCAATTCTCAGCACCACATTAAAAATAAATAAATAAAATAATAAAGGCATGCTGTTCATCTACAACTATAAAAAATTATATATATATATATATATATATATATATATATATATATACACATACAGTTTATTCTATTGATACCTCTACTCTGCATGTTCAGTCATAAACATTATTGTACAGATCTGCTACAAAGTTTTCAACTGTATGTATATATATTATTTATAAAAATGTAGACAGGATTCCATTTGGATTAGGAAAAAAAATAAAAGGAATTGTGCTAACATCAGCTCTGTGAGTTGCAATGTCCCTTGCGTCTTTCCTGCATGTCTAATTAGCATTCTCCATATGTAGGAAACACAAACAAGCAAGTTTCCAACATAGGATGTTGGGAGCTCTGCCACCTCCCCTGTCCTTTGAGGTCCCACACTCCACCCCAGAGGGAAGATGAGGTTAATGAGTCCAGGTCCCAGTAAGGCTGTGAAACATCTGGCAGCACTTTCTTAACACAACTAGGCTGAGTCATGAGATCCAGAACGTGGGACTCAAACCTCTGGAGTCAACATTTCTTGTAAGAATTGCCAGACATGGGCTAGGGTTGTAGATCAGTGGTAGAGTGGTAGAGCACTTACCTAGCATGTGTGAGGCACTGGGTTTGATTCTCAGCACCACATATAAAACAAATAAATCAATAAAGTCCATCAATAACTAATAAAAATATTAAAAAAAAAAAAAAAAGAATTGCCAGATAGGAATCTCATGGCATCTACAAACAGGGCTCTGGCCAAAGAGTGTTAGAAGGTAGCAATCTGGTAAATTACAACAGAGCCATGGCTACCACCAAAATGTGGTGCCTTCTGATGTGCTTTTTGCTGGTAGTAAATTTTCATGAGATTACTTTTATATAGCTTGCTTTCTAAGAAATCATCTTCGAATAGATTTTCGGATGCTGTCTATACTTATCTAGGACCTGTCACCACAGAAACACTACCCGGGCTGGCAAGTTGAGTTCACATGAAATATATTGATTCTCTACTGAGAAAGGTTCTGAGTCATGTGCTAGGATCGATTAGTGATATCTGTAATAGGAGTAGTAAGTGGGGGTATATACTCCCCTATTCATCCCCAGCCCCTCCCTGTGTATTCTATACACAGCAGCCAGAGAGATGCCCACTTCAACTGACAGTAAAAAGTGCAACTGTGGGGTAATAGAATCTGTTTTATGAGGTTTTAATGAGATAGTACTGAACTTCCTGCCTTTAGCCCACCTCCCTGTATTTTTTTTTTTTTTTTTGGCAGTGCTGGGAATGAAATCTAGGGCCTCATGCATGCTAGGCAAGTACTCTCCCACTGATATAACCCCAGCCCTTCCCTGTGTATCCTATACACAGCAGCCAGAGAGATGCCCACTTCACCTGACAGTAAAAAGTCAAGGTCTTCATAAGGTCCCTGTCACCCTGTGAGGTCGGGATTTAGGAAAGGCTACTTTAGACTACTTCTTCCTATGCTGGGAGGGACAGGGTCAGGTTTCCAGGGATATAAGAAAGGAACTGCTCATTAAATTACCTGCCACGAGTTGGTAAGTGACCTTCTGTGGTCACACCATAGGTCAGAAGGCCAGGTTCTCAGGCTGATAATCAATTCACCAGATTGGCCAAAACCCAACTGCTCAAAAACTATATCATCATGGCAACAACTTTCCCCAGAATCCAGTTAAGGCCAGATGCAAATTAAGCCTGAAGAAAACTGATTCTCTAGAAAACATTCCGCTAGAAGTCCCAGACCTTGTTGGGGCTTTCTGTGAAGGAGGGGGAGTTCCAAAGACCTTTCAAATCCTCCAGAGTCTGAGAGTTGGGCTTCCTCTTTCCTTCATTTCAAAAAAGAGAAACAGATAAAACACAAAGACACCAAAATCAGACAGAAGCAAACATGAAACCCCCAAATCCCAGATTCTCAGGCAGATGTAGGAAAATTTAGACCGACCAGGATTTTCTGGTGCAAAAAAAGTCCTTTCTAATTGTTTACCTTCTTAGTTGTAACCTCCAACCTCACCCTTCCCTGTGTTACCTCCTTGTTCCTCAATCACTGTCTCAGGTCAGAGTCTCTGTCCAATACATTCACAACACACACGCGACTCATTACATGCAGTTCCAGGGACTTTCAGACCAGGAGTTCAGAGATCTCAGAAGTATAGAAGACAGAGAGGAGCCTCCCAACATATGAAGAACTAATTTTACCTCTAAATAGCTGTGTGAGGCCAGCTCAGTCAATGAGCATGTCCAAGCTTCAGCTTCCTCATCTGTGAATTAAAGATGTAGATGGTGCTTTGCTCCGATGATTTTTTTTTTTTTGGTACTAGAGATTGAACCCAGAGGCACTTAACCACTTAGCCACATTCCCAGCCCTTTTTTGTATTTTATTTTGAGACAGGGTCTCGCTGAGTTGCTTAGGGCTTCACTAATTTGCTGAGGCTGGCCTTGAACTCACGATCCTCCTGCCTCAGCCTCCTGAGTTACTGGGATTACAGGCATGAGCCACCATGCCTGGCCAGTCAATGATCTGGACCCCCAGGAAGCCATCTGTCACCAGCCTCTGACCCAACAGCTGACCACCAAAGCCTGTAACCAGGCTGTAATCTCTTCCCCAAAGTAAGATCCAGTCTACCATCTCTACAGAACTGAGCAGCTGTCATTCTTTCCACTACAACCCTTGCTGAACACCAAGGGATAAAGTCCAGACTCAGTTCCCAATGCCTCTGTCCCTGACACACCTGAGCATCCAAGACATCAAAAGGAACATAACAACAAATCAAAGGACTCCTTTGCAACCTCTGCCTGCCAAGACTTGCTTTCTAATTGCTGTTAATTGCAATAATTGCATAGCTCTGAAGTGTAAGGCTTCTCCTCCTCCCCTCCACCCCCTCCTAGTCTGAGGCAGGGCAAAGGAAAGGAGTTACAACAACAAAAGCTCCACACAGCACATCTCTTCTTCTTTTCTGCTCCTGACCTTAAGATTTACTCTGTGACTCCATGGCTGGACATGAGCTTAGAGTTCAGTGGGACAAAGCCTTAAGACATGACTAAGAGAGCCAGGCGTGGTGGTGCACGCCTGTAATAGCAGTGCCTTGGAGGCTGAGGCAAGAAGATCGAAAATTAGAGGCCAGCCTCAGCAACTTAGCAAAACCCTGTCTCAAAATAAAAATTTAAAAAGCCAGGGATGTAGCTCCACCGAGTGCCCTGGGTTCAATCCCAAGTACCAAAAAAATAAGAAGTTGTTGTTGCTGAGCTGGGCATGGTGGCATGTACCTGTAGTCCCAGCTACTGAGGAGGCTGAGGTGGGAGGGTCACTTGAGCCCAAGAGTTCAAGGCCAGACTGGGCAATATACATCTCTAAAAAAGCAGAATTAGTCTTCTCCATGAAGGTGGAACCAAAAGTGTCCCCTAAGAACCAGAAGGAATCCAAGCTCTAGACCTGAAGAGAAGGTACCAATCCACATATGCTGGAAGCCAAGAAGGGATGACAGTCCTGGGTACCTTCTCTTCTACACATGGCTGAAACAGCACCTCATTTCCTGCCCAGGCTTCCCAGCACCCCCTATCCACTGATTGGGACCTACAGTTTCATGTTTAGAAAGGCCCATCACACCCTTGGCAACCTCCTCTCACCTGCTCTGGACAGTGTAACCCAACTACAGACAATAGCTACATGGACAGAAAAAATGTCAGTGCTCCAACTGAAGAGAGGAGGGGAGTGGAATAGGGGTGTGATGTGATTTCATGCAAACAAAGCATAACCCCTGGGGGAAAAAAACCCTGAGGCTGGGGAATGAACATCAAATATAGTCCCTGGGTCCTTATTGGTCTATCACCAAGATTCCTGGGGCATCTTTAGTCATCAAAGTAGGTAGCTGAGGCCTCTATCAGGAACAAAGCTCCCGATGGGACTCCTGACAGCAATGTCCTTCTCTTAAGGATGCATCATACACCCACCCTCACCCCACCTGAGTACAGCTCTGGGCCAGAAAGGTGAGGTTGGGTGCAGCCTCTATGACTGGGTGAGGCAGCCCAGCTGTCAGAACTGACAAGTGCCAACCACAACACAAACACAACCTGCAGCAGCCTAGAGAGGCAGGCATCAAACTAGAGTTCCCAAAGACAGGAAATGGGGATCCCTAATCCTCAAGCACAGTCTAGGGGTTCAAGGTGAAACACATCTCCCAAAACGGAGCTGCAGAAGGAGAGAGCTGCCCTGCCAGAGGGAGAGGAGTGATCAAGCTGCTGAAAGCAGATATGGTGGGTGGCATTAGGAGAGACCCCTGCGGCAGTGGGTGCTGAGCTGTTCCCTTTGAACCCTAGCACCTACCGGCCTCCTCAGACTTGATCCACATGGGCACAACCTGGAATTTGCTCTCGGAGGCCACTGACCAACTTTCTAAAGCGAATAAGGTGCTCAGAGCAAAGAGCAGGTGAGATGGAAGGAGAATGGGGTCTTCGAAAGGGCGCCCCAGGAGGGTAAAGAACTGAAACGCTGGGAGATGGGAGGGGGTTGGTCCATGCAGACTATCAGCGCCCAGGGGCTAACCAGGGGCACTCCGGGTCCCTAGTCGCCCCACCCCCCCGGCTCCGCGGGAGGGAAGGGGAAGACACGGCACTGCAAGTAGCAGAGTTGCGGGACTAGGTGGTCCGGCCCTACCTGCAGTTCCTGAAATTCTCCCTCCAGCTCGTGCCACTCGCGCTCGCAACACTCCAGCTGCCCCGACATGGTGCAATGGTGCAAGGCGGTGGCGGCCGAGGCTGCTCCCGCAGCGTTGCCCCGCCACCACCAACACCTCACGCCTGCCCACCAGCCGGCCGTCTTCAGAAGCACCAGCTGTTCCTGCGCAGCCAGAGCCACGCGCACACCTGACGTCACGGTCCCCGCCCCGGCGCCCGCCCCACCCCCTCGCCTGAGAGGCTGGGCTCCGCGCGTGCGCACACGCCTCTCAGCTCCGTAGTGCGCTCAGAGTGCCCGCCCGGTACTAAGTCGTTTTCCTGGGCTTGGCTGCGTCTGCCGCTGCCTCCTTGGGAGTATCTCGGCGCCTCCAGGATCCCTCCCTTCTCGGACGGGCTGGCTGAGGAGTTTTGCGTTTACAGAGCTAATATTACTTAGGTTGTGATTTGGGAAGCGTGGCTGGTGGGGGTTAAAAAGATTTGGGGAGAGATGAAAGTTCACTACTACCACCAGTACCCTTTAACATTGCTAACCTGGCCCATGGCCAGTGCCCTGGAATGCTAGTTGACACTGACCAAGTAGCAAGGTTGGGGACAGGGCAGGGAAGCCTGTCATTTCATATTATTATTTATTGCAACCTATACATTCTAGATTCCTGCCCTCTAAGACACTGGGTGACTCTTAACAGCTGTTTCTGTCACTCGCTGATTGACACAACATCCTCCTAACTAATTTAATCCAGTTACATTCCCTCCTCTGCAAAATTACAAGATCTGTCCCAACCTGGCTTTTCAGTCCCGTCTCCTACCTTGATGACAGATCTTGCTCTCCAGCCATTGTTTTTTGTCCTCCTGGCCTTGCATGGAATGCTCTTCCCTCTAAATCCTCATATGGTTCCCTCTTTCTCATGACCAGAGTCTCAGTTCAGTTGAAACCTGTATTAGTTTCTTAGGGCTGCGGTAACTACAAACTGGATGATTTAAATACCACAAACTAGGTGGCCTACACCATAGAAATGTATTTCTCTCACGTGTATTTCAGGCTCAAAGTTTGAAATCAAGGTGTCAGCTGGGCCTTGCTTCCTCTGAGTCTCTGGGAAGAATCTTTCCTTGTTTATGGTGGTGGCTTTCCATCCTAGGTGTGCCTTGGCTTGTAGCTTCACCACTACAATTTCAGATCTGTGTAAGATGGCCTTTGGTGTGTCCTCTCCTGTTATCTATTCTAGTATGTCATCTCAGCTAATCACATCTGCAAAGACTCCATTTCTAAATAAGGTCACATTCTGAGGTTAGAATTATCACCTCTGAGCAAAGACCCTCCATGAACCACCATAAGTTCACACTTCCCCCCAAGTCACTTGATATATTGCCTGCTTTATTTCCTTCATGCAAGTTAACCATTATATGAAGTGTTTTGGTTCCCAAATCTGTATCTCCTGTTTGTATATCTCCTGTTTGCGTGAATAATCTCCATGAGATCTCAGGGAACTCATTTTTGTCTTGGTTGTCATTGAATCTCCATTTTCAGCCATTGTAGACACTCAATTAATATTTGTTGAATGAATGGAAGGAATGAACTTTAAAGATCACCCACCATAGGCTCACAATGCTACCAGGTGTGGTGGTGCAAGCCTGTAATCCCAGCAATTCGAGAGGCCGGGACAGGAGGATTGCAAATTCAAGACCAGTCTCTGCAACTTAGCAAGGCCCTATCTCAAAATAAAAAATAAAAAGGACTGGGGATGTGGCTCAGTGCGTAGGCCCCTCTGAGTTTAATCCTAGTATCAAAAAAGAAAAAGGAGGAGGAGGAAGAGGGGGACGGGGAGGGGAGGGGGAGGGGGAGGAAAAAGAAAGACTCACAATGTTTTGGGTTTATAGATGCCTCCAAGAATGAGAAAAAATGTACATATGAGCCACGTGTGATGGCGCACATTTATAATCCCAGCAGCTCAGGAGGCTGAGACAGGAGGATCATGAGTTCAAAGCCAAAGTAATGTGCTAAGCAACTCAATGAGACTCTGTCTCTAAATAAAATACAAAATAGGGCCAGGGATGTGGCTCAGTGATAGAGTGCCACTGAGTTCAATCCCTAGTACTGCCCAAAAAAAGCACATATGCACACATATGCACTTGAAACCTTATTGAGCCTAAAAAGGGATGCAATCTTCCTAAGATCTAACCAGTGGCACACACCTGTAATCCTAGCAGCTCAGGAGGCTGAGGCAAGAGGATCACAATTTCAAAGCCACCCTCAGCAATTTATCAAGGCCCTAAGCAATTTAGGAAGACCCTGTCTCAATATAAAGTATAAAAAGGGCTAGGGATGTGGCTCAATGGTTTAGCACCCATGGATTCATTCCCTGGTACAAAAAAATAATAATAAAAAATAATAAATAATTTTGAATTAAGGTTCTAATATGTGACTCCCAAACAAGTAATATATCAATTAATAAATCAAATATCCCCAAGCTCATTGGTGGGATATGGACAATCATATTCAGAAACTGTTTATTGTATTGCAAGTGAGTGTCAGACCCTAGGGTGGGTAGTGCATAAAGTTCATGAAGTTTGGTTGCTGTCTTTCCATAAGTACTTTCCAGGATCCAATGCTGGAATGAAAACCTGAGCTAGGCACAGTGAATATAGGTAATCCCAGCCAGTCAGGAGGCTGAGACAGGATGATCCCAAATTTGGGGTCATCCTGGGCTAGACACTGTCTCAAAACAAAACAAAACAAAAAAAATGGCTGGGGTTATAAGCTCAGTGGTAAAGCACCCCTAGTTTTCAATCCCCAGTACTAGAAAGAAAGAGAGAGAGAAACTGAAGAGAAACAATCCCTCATTTATCTATTCTAAAAATATTTACTGTGGCTGTCACTGTTCCAGGCTTTGGGGATAGAGCAACTAACAAAACAAGACAAAAACTTCTGTCCTCATAGAGTTTAGATTCTAGACAGTCTAAAAACCCAACCTAAAGCATTTATGGGCTTTTGTTTGTTTTTGTTTTTGTAATGAAAAGGATTGAACCCACAGCCTCAGGAATACTAGGCAAATACTCTACCTCAGAGCTACATCCTCAGTGCTGTGTTTTGTTTTGTCTTTATAGAGAAAACTTCAGACATACCCAGAAGCAGAAAGAACAGCGCCCAACACTCAGTTTCAACACATCAACTGATAGCCAATCTTATATTATCTACATCTCTACCCATTTGTTTGCCTTTTGTATTATTTTCAAGTAAATTTCAGACATCATATTCGAAGAATTACTTTTTGTAAGATTTAGTGAAGTAAAGTTTATATATAATAAAATTCACTCTTTTTGATGTACAGTTGCATGAGTTTTGATAAATACACAGTTATGTATGTGATCACAAACCAAAAAAGGACAGTTCCTAGTGTTCACTTCCTAGTGGTCTTCTAGTTTGTTAATCTTTTCTTCTAAAAACATCTAATCCACCATTAATCCTATCCCAACTAGAAGTTATACTTGGATCTTTTTTTATATCTTCTATACCACTACTTGATCTTGTAAATATGTGAAACACAGTAACTATTTTAAATTCCTTGTCTAATTTTAACATCTATAGGTTTTGTTTGTTTTTGTTGTTTTTCTGTTTTTGTTTGTTTGTTTTGGTACTGGGGATTGAGCTCAGGGGCACTCAACCACTGAGCCACATCCCCAGCCCAATTTTTGTATTTTATTTATAAACAGGGTCTCACTGAGTTGCTTAGTGCCTCACCGTTGCTGAAGTTGGCTTTTAACTCACGATCCTCCTATCTCAGCCTCCTGAGCTGCTGGGATTACAGGCGTGCACCACCATGCCTGGCAATCTGTGTGATTTTGATTAATCTATTTTTCTCTTGATAAAATGTCTGGTTATTATTGACTGTATGTCAGACACTGTGGAATCTGTGAATTTTCCTTTTCAGGTATTTCCTCTCTCCTTTTTATTCTTCTCCCTCCTCTTCATCTTTTCCTTTCCTTTCTCCTTCCTTCCTCATCCTTCCTTTCTTCTCTTGTATTTTGGAATTTCTAAACATATTCTGTTTGGGGTTTTGTTTTGGTACTGGGAATCGAACCTAGGGGCACTTTACCACTGAGCTACATCCCCAGTTCCCAGTTTTGGTTTCTGGGTTTTGTTGTTGTTGTTGTTTTGGTGAGGTGGGATACCAGGGGCACTTAACCACTAATTACATTCCCAGTCCTTTTTTTTTTTTTTTTTTTAATTTTTTAGTTGTAGTTTGACACAATACCTTTATTTAATTTACTTTTTATGTGGTGCTGAGGATTGAACCCAGGGCCTCACACGCACTAGGTGGGTGCTCTACTGCTAAGCCCCAGCCCCAACCCCCTTTTTGTTTCTTGAGACAAGGTCTTGCTGAATAGCCAAGTCTGGACTCAAACTTGTGATCCTTCTGCCTCAGCCTCCCAAGTAGCTAAAAATGGGCTGATACAGAGGCACATGCCTATAATCCCAGGTTTAGGAGACTGAGCAGGAAGATTGCAAGTCCCAAGAAACTGGCTTACAGGTGTGTGTCACCACCCATACATCTTGTTTTAAAATTTAAGTGCAACCCAAACAGTGCCTAGTTAAGAGCTAATTTTTCCCCACTACTGAGGTAAGACAGATGTCCCATGAATCATAAAGTTTTCCAGGCTGCCTGCTGTACAAGCACTCTCCTTGATGTGCATAAGTATCACACACTTATACCTCTACCCTTTTCAGATGTTTTTTTTTTTTTTTTTTTTTTTCTGGCCTGGGTCACTGCCCTCACTTGAAGGAGCCAGACAGTATTCAGCTGACTGCTGGTCAGGAGCTGACTGCAGACCTCGGGAATTATGTGAATACAGCCGTCTCCTCTCTAGAACTCCAGACTCCTTGGTCCTCCCAGACTCTCAGCCCTGTCTTCTCAATTCAGGGCCTCTGCCAGATTCCACCTGGAATCCCCCACTCTTGCCTATAGCCTGGAAATTCTCAAGCCAGGAAGCTGGGGCAATTGTAGGGCTAAATCCATTTGTTTCCAGTCTTTCAGGGATCACTGTCCTTCATTGACTGATGTCCATTGTCTGTTTGGGGAATTCTTTCCAGTAAGAAAGTAAATCTGGTTCCTGATACTACATATTGGTCAGCATAAAGCATTTGCCATTCATCCATGCTCCTGTCTATATTAGCCATTCAT